AACTTAAAACGAAGAATACTCCGCGTCATTTTAATACTATGTCAAAATCATTCAACAATTGGAGTAGAGTGTAAAACCTATTGTATTTGAGAAGCTCAATTTGGAGCTATAATTTGGAGCAATTTTTTCTTGGTCAGAGATTTTCTCTTCAAACGGCTGTGTGAAAAAATGCTAATTGGGCTAAACATTCTCTCTTAAAACTGCATATCGCGAAAAATATTTAATCTAGGGAACTTAGATTTTCATTGAAAGCTTTTTATGGCATGCTCATATGATATTAGGCGGTTATTTGGGCTAAAAGTGAAATATCTATGCTAAACATTGACATAGGTTCGCCTATAAATTTACCTATAAATACGATTCTAGTAAGATCGAGAGAAATCATTATATGGATTTTCAAGTTCTGGTTAATGCAACATATGGCAAACAAAAAGGAAGAGATTTTAAAACGTTGATGACATTCCTTTAGCAGCATGGTTGTTATATAAGATGACACGAGTGTAAACAGCGAAAGCTTAGACCAATTATCATGCGTTATAAAATTTTTGATAAATAACGCGCGCTCTGATTGGCTGACGACCGTGTTTATATCAGAGGAGAGAGAAATGGCATACCAGCAAAAAAATTTTTCGGTGGGAGTTAAAAAAGCACTCGCTACGATCGTGTTTCTAACCTTGCTTCTCTCGAGTTTTTCAACTCCCACCGTGTTTATATCAGAGGACAGAGACACGCGCGCCGTTTTATATTTTTTAAATATTAAACCCCAACTACAACACTCGTATTTCTTTATAAAAAGAAGAAATATCTACAGAAAATTGCTATTGGTTTCTATAGGAATCACCATTGATTGTAACTTGAAAAAGATCTTCACTTCGATCTTGTTAATACTGGTAGTTGCGTCTTTACACGGAAATGATTCATTGCACATGTTACAGTACATATCGAAAAACCGTGACCGCCTAGAAAAATTTCTGGAATGTTTAATGTTCATTGGCCAATCAGAAGCGAGATTAACCGTCACCAAGTGCATTTTCACGTGCAAATTTAAATTTAATCAAAACTTCAGCGTTTCAAATAAACACTAGACCCTGTATGCAGGGTTGACACGTACCCTTTGTTGTGCATGATGTTGTGAGATCATTAGTAAATGAGGCCTTATTAAAACCTTACTGATACAGAATAAAGAAATGATTTGATCCATCGAGCCTTGCCAAGATATATGTGATTTTTGCGATAAGCTTATATGTGGTGGCTCTTAAAATTTCAGCTGTAACTGCCTTTGTGATTCTGCAGTATAATTTTAAGGTCAGATATACCCGGAGATATATAACTAGGCATGCCCTTTGGTTACAACGTGACGCTTTATTAACTTTTGATATGATAGTAACACAATATTTTTGCACATCTACATTAAAACTCGACATATCTATTGCAGATGTTTGAATAGCAATGGAATTAATAAGCATT